TACCTATCTCTTGCCTTCATTTTTCACATCCATTTGCACAACACTTGCATAAGAAAGGCTTTTGTCATTTTGTGTCTTCTAATTGTCCACTCCTTTCTATTATATGCGCTCAAAAATAAGTCAATTTCATGTAATTTTTAAGTATTAAACATATTGTGAAAACTCATACAATTATAATGCAATCATATAATAACTGATATTTTTCATCAACTTATGAACCATTATTATATTGCAAATAATAAATCATTTCAAAACTAATCATTATTATATAAATGCATAATAATGTTTGGGAACAAGTTTTTGTATAATTTAAAATTAATTCAATTTATAAATATATGATTAGTTAATTTGTTTTAAAATAATTCAAAACAAATATAATATCAAATAAAATGTATTTAAAATATCCATTAGTTTTTAACAATCTTAATTTAAAGTCCAAAATAGATTTGTTTTGTAATCAAAACTATGCTTTACTGGAATAAACTCAATATTTGGTTATATTTCAAAGTAATTTCAATTATAATTAATAATTCAAGAGAAGCTCAATAACAACTCTTATACTGTATGTATCAAAAATCACTTAAATTTAAGATCTATAATTGAGACTTAAAAATTGAGTTAAGCGTTAAAACAGCAAAATTATTGACTGAATAAACATATCGTAAACTACTCTATATTTATTTGACTCATAAATAATTAATACATGTTTCCTCTCTTTCACTGGAAATTACTTTTTAATTTTATTTGAAAATTAAGTTTTTATTTTCTTCCTACATTAATCACAATTAAAACTATAAATTGATTGAATTATTAGTTTTCATTGAAATGGGAGCCGAGAATCGGAGCGACACGTACTGACAAATGGGCAACAAATAAGGCATTTCTTTATTAGTGTACAAATTAGTTTTGCAAATCATTTGCACAACTATTGTAGCCCTCTCTGCGAGCGTCGGGCGCACAGCACTGTATATACCCGGNAGAGTGACCGCATATAACACATCCCATAAACCGATGCCCACATCACATGTTTATTGTTATGTTTACAACGGTATCCAAATATTATAGACAATTTATTTTCACTTTTCCACTCACTTATAAACTCATTTGTTTTCTCCCCTATTTTTTGGCCCCACACTTAAGACTTAATTCAAGCCTATTATCCGCTCGTTGTTTATATGTTTTCTTTTTGTTTCAAACGTTATATCCATATAGAAAAACATAACACATATGCAACTGATTTGTCATTTGGGATTTTGTATTGAAATTTATTAATGACTGTTTAATATCTTTCTATTGGTTCTAATAGATTACAACAGGACTCAAGCGAGTAGTGTATCGCCGAGTCGTGGGTACGGCTCGAACGCATCGACCCCTCACAGCAGTAGTGGCGGCAGTTCTTACGGCGGGAACGGAACCACAGCCACTATGAATGGCGGGTACGGCAGTCCACCAACCAATATGTCGACACCAGTCCCCGGCTCTCCCGGACTATTCAATGGTTTGTCTCATTTTCGTTGCTCTTTTACTTCTAATATATTTATTGCAAAATAAATATGAATTGAAATTTGTTGAGAAGTATTTAATACAAGTGACTAACGGATGACAATGTTTGAATGTGTTGATAGGTATGGGTAGTATAGTGTCCGCCTCTCCATTCGCAGCGATGAATCCGTTTGCATTGCCGACGTGTAACGGCCAGTCGTACGGCTCATCAATTGTTTCATCGACCAAATGATGATCAAAACTGAGTGATCAACTCTTTTATTAAAATCATTTACATATTAAGAGACAAAAAATAAATAAACCGTTGTTTTTATTGGACGCACATATTATATATTGAATATTATATTATATTCTATATTATAGTGTATATGATATGAGAAATTGTAATTCATTTTAATTTAGAGCAAACTTTACAACGAATTATATTAAACGAGAGAAAGGAGAAAGAGTTTGCGATTATTAACAAATTTTAATAACAATTATAACTTTCATCAAAAAATCATTCATTTTTAAGGAAACAAACAAAATATTCATTAAAATTTTTTGTTTGATTTCATTTTATGTGTGTATTAAAAATAATTTTCTGATAATTAATACCTTAAACGGTGCTTAAATGATGAAAAGCTATACATTATATAATCATTACTTATATATACAGTATATATAAATAAATATATATATATAAAGACATATTGAAATAATTTATTAATAATTTTTTGCTTTAAATGCTTCAAAATGTGCCACAAATTCTATTTCTTGTATAAAGGATTTAAAGCTAAAACAGTGAATGACTTATTATGTATTCAAGAGATATAAAATGCAAAATACATCAATCATTGCGAGAGAGAAAATAAAAATACATATTATTATTAATATTATATTGTCTCTAAAAACACTAAAATTTGTAAAAATGTTTTGACTTTTTTCTCTATGAGATGATATGATATTTTAATTCATTGCAAAAAAGTTTGACAAATATATGAATATACAAAAAAATGGGTTTTTTATTATAATATTCTGTTGAATGCAAATATGAGAGGAAAACTGTTTTGCTTTATTGTATAATTTAAAATGAAAATAAAACAAATTTATGAAAAAAGAAGTAAATTATGTAAAAATAAAATTTATCAGACTTTTACTCAAATACAATACCAACACAGAAATAAGTTTTTATATTCTCTCTCTCTCTCTCTCTCTCTCTCTCCTTTTTCTTCTTTTCTATTTTATATCTCTTGAATACATAATAAGTCATTCACTGTTTTAGCTTTAAATCCTTTATACAAGAAATAGAATTTGTGGCACATTTGTCAGTACGTGTCGCTCTCTCTCTCTCTCTCTCTCTCTCTCTCTCTCTCTCTCTCTCTCCTTTTTCTTCTTTTCTTTTAACTTTAAATATTTACCTAAATTTTAATCTTAAGAATCTCTGAAGTGATAATACATTTAAACATCACTTTATATGATATGTATTCAAATTTTTAATTATCTCTGAAAAAGCAGTTTCTCTTATTTTAAAGTAAATTTGATGTTAAGTTATATTTAAACAAAAATGTAATACAAATATTGTTTTTAATACTCTTTATTCATTTTTATAATTTTTCTCTGAATGTAATTTAAAAACAAGATTTTTTTTATGTATTTGTGATTCAAATCTTGTGCAATACTTTACTGCTGTATAAATACTAATAAAAAAGAAATCAATACATAATTTGATAATTGTTTTGCCATTCAATACAAACAGTACTAGTAGTCCATTGAGTCAAACTTGTCGATGGATGAGCACCAGTGCCGGTACTAACTCCCCATTCCCTCTCTCACTCACTCTCTCGCACTCCTCCCTAACATCAAAATATATGTGTTAGGGATGAGAGAGGAGTGCAGTGAGAGTGTAGTGACTCTCCTCTCGATTTCTATACAAATATTGTATGAATAGTGGGTTCGAGAAGATTGAAGAGCAGACCAGAACCGATGCATAAATTTATATAATATAGAGTTAATAATGTTGTTATGCAAACCATCTGCTCTCCAATAAATGTGTGTACATTACCTCTTATATGGTATACCGGATCCGCTATATCTCTATATGTCCTCTACTTTTGCATATTTTGTGCATTCAATTCAATGCCGAGTCTTATAATGGAATTAAAGTCAGCGATGGGTTCAGTGAATACTAATGCACATCACATTCACAGTACCCCTCCGTCCGTCCAAATGATGTCCAATATTATCATATTTTGCATATAATAAACAGGTTGTTATACACATACAGTTACACCGACTGCTACTACAATTAAATCAAACATTTATTTCAATCTCTATTAACAATGTAAATTAATTTCTCAAAGTTAGGCTCCCATTCGTTTCGCGCAACTCTATTATGTTATCATAATTTTTCACAATAAACTCTATGTATGGCTAAAATTCTTATCAAAAATTAATACCATTTAGTAATGAAAGACATTTTAGATAAGGATGTGATGGATATCTCAACAGTTGTTTAATAATAAATGAATTGTTATTTTATAAGAATCACTTTAGAAGTCACAGAATGTAAGAGCTGTTAGACTGTATATCAGAGCTATCAGATAGTATTGGGTATTGTATGTAGTGTTTAGTGAGAGAACTGGTAGGTCTGGGCCACAGGTGCGACAATTGGTTTAATGAGGTGAGGCTTTGGATCACTGGAATGAGTCACTAAATCTAACTCAATATAATTTTCATTGAATTGTCAATTGCATCACAGAATCGACTGGAAATGGTTGAGCGCAGGGAAAGGACAGGGAGGACAGGGGAGGGCCGCCAATGCCTACGATAACTGCACGGCTTTACGACACTATTTTCAATGCACTCTTCGATCCAATTATAACTGTTGGCAAAAAGGCGTCCAAAACTAATACAGCGCTTATTTGCATACAATTTGGATTTCACCCCAAATGCAGACACAAATATAACATACGGTCTCTACAATACTCTTACCTCCGATGTCGGAGACCCGGGTATATACAGTGCTGTGCGCCCGACGCTCGCAGAGAGGGCTACAATAGTTGTGCAAATGATTTGCAAAACTAATTTGTACACTAATAAAGAAATGCCTTATTTGTTGCCCATTTGTCAGTACGCGTCGCTCCGATTCTCGGCTCCCATTTCAATGAAAACTAATAATTCAATCAATTTATAGTTTTAATTGTGATTAATGTAGGGAAGAAAATAAAAACTTAATTTTCAAATAAAATTAAAAAGTAATTTCCAGTGAAAGGAGAGGAAACATGTATTAATTATTTATGAGTCAAATAAATATAGAGTAGTTTACGATATGTTTATTCAGTCAATAATTTTGCTGTTTTAACGCTTAACTCAATTTTTAAGTCTAAATTTATTATAGATCTTAAATTTAAGTGATTTTTAATACATACAGTATAAGAGTTGTTATTGAGCTTCTCTTGAATTATTAATTATAATTGAAATTACTTTGAAATATAACCAAATATTGAGTTTATTCCAGTAAAGCATAGTTTTGATTACAAAACAAATATATTTTGGACTTTAAATTAAAATTGTTAAAAACTAATGGAAATTTTAAATACATTTTATTCGATATTATATTTGTTTTGAATTATTTTAAAACAAATTAACTAATCATATATTTATAAATTGAATTAATTTTGAATTATACAAAAACTTGTTCCCAAACATTATTATGCATTCATATAATAATGATTAGTTTTGAAATGATTTATTATTTTCAATATAATAATGGTTCATAAGTTGATGAAAAATATCAGTTATTATATGATTGCATTATAATTGTATGAGTTTTCACAATATGCTTAATACTTAAAAATTACATTAAATTGACTTATTTTTGAGCGCATATAATAGAAAGGAGTGGACAATTAGAAGACACAAAATGACAAAAGCCTTTCTTATGCAAGTGTTGTGCAAATGGATGTGAAAAATGAAGGCAAGAGATAGGTATGAATAAAGTCTGTGTTTTTAAACACGATTTGGCTTTTAAGTCATTAAAACAAAGAATATTCCGACGGGAGTATCACCGGAATAAACCAATTAAAAGTCCCATTAGGGTTAAGTACAAACACTATCAAAAGGTTAAGCCGTTAGTTGTGAACCGCTTTTTATTTGTATTGAATATCAATGCAATGGCAATGCAATGCATTGTTTAATATTCAGTCCTCAGTTGCCGTCTCAGTCTCTATGGATTAAATTAAAACTATTTCCTTAATTAATAACTGCCAGAACTCTGTTCATTGAAATCCTATACCCATTGATTAAAACACAGACACAAAACTTTGCGCTCAGAGGAAAAAGAGATGACAAATACATTTGAAGAAAAATTCAAACGAAAAAGTAATTCAATACTTAAAATTGTAAATATATTTTTTGTCACCGAATTATTACGAATACTTAAATTTCAATTTATTTAAGTCAACCCTAGTTTAAGGTTTAATTCACTACAATTCACAACATTTTTTCTTTTTTTCTTCTGTTATTTTTATTATTTGTGCAAATCTTATGCTTTTAAACCTAAAGAATTCAAATCAAACAAAAATATATTTGTATTTAGTTTTTATGTTTCAGATGTTAAACAAGAATTGTTTGGATTAAATGAATTAAGAGGAAAAGGAAAATACATTGAATAAAAACTAATTGAAAAATGAAATTTCTCTGTCAATAAAATAAATAGATTTTTTTCTGGTAAAAAAGTTATTCAATTATATATAAAAATATATAAAAACAATATATGAGTTTCATTGAAGACGACCATAATATCAATCAATGGTTTAATAGAAATATAGGATTCAATTGTTTGGGCTCTCTATTAATGATATAAGAATTGAGTTTTATTTCTCTTTTACTAATATTAGACATAAAAGAGGACACAATAGAGAAGAGGAAAACAATGCAATTATTTTGCTCAGAAGCCATGCATTCGTGCAAATAATACAGTTTTATAATTAACCGCCAGTGCCTGTAGTGGCCAGAGCTGGTCAATAGTTAATATGTCTCAACGGATGTATTATTATTTCTTAAACAATACCCACGAGTGTTGGAAAAGGGATCAAAATATATCGTAAACCGCAATCAACAGAATCTAATGTAACATAAAATTGTCTCTCGTTTTGCATTGAATGCATACTTAATTGTAGTATTCATGCAATTTATCCGTTTCTTCTTCTTCTTCAACAAACACTGGCATTGATTTTCAAATCAGAATATACATATATATATATATATATAAAGCCAACGAGTTTTACGACATTAAAACCTATTAATCCTGTATTTAATTGTAATTAATTTTATTTTTAATAGTTATACGCGTTTTGAATGGTCGTAGCGTTCAATCAATATATAATTTAAAGGAAAGATTTAGTTAATAATAAAATATTCTCTTGTGATAAATCTCTGGGAGAACTACAGGCGCTCAACACGTGTCTAAACTCTTGTCTTAATGTTAAAATTCATTGGACTTCAGTTGGTTTAGGAGTGATAAAGATTTAGTTAATAATAAA